TTCACTTCTAATCTTAATACACATAAACATAAAATAAACACCCAAAAACACAGTAAGAAGGATGGTGCTCAAGTTGGCTTCGTAGTCGCCGGTTTCTTGTTCGAGTTTTCCCGTTCCACCTTAAATGGTGCAGCTTCAGGCACTGGAAAGTGACTGCTGCACCATTTAAGGTGGAACGGGAAAATTCGAACAAGAAGCTGGCGAATAAGATGTCTTCATCTTGATGTAAGAAGGTGTTAATGTTAATCTATTACTAATATCTACACGGATTAAGGAACGCTATAACTTACCCAGCTAGAAAGCTTTAACCATCACTGTAAATAAATAACTACTACATAAAGTTAAGATCTCCTGTATAGACTATTAAATGAAATAAGCTTAAAATAAGACCAGAGGAAAAACAATCACATCAACAGGTTCTCTGTGCATCACCAACCACACGACCATATCTACACATAAACATCACACAAACATGAGTGTGGATCGCTGCGTTCCCTCCGTTATATAATCTTATCCCGTTTTCTGAGAGCAATATTCCTGAAATAGTGTAATTTTGGACAGTATCTTTCCTCAACTGCCGCTCTGTAATGGTACTGAATGCAGTCCAACAGCGATGTTGACCGCCCCACAATGGCGGCGCCGTTGACGTGCCTGTGTGGACACAACGCGGCATCTATGTATGCATATCTATGGTCTTTCAGACTGCATGGTGACAGTCAACCATGGCAACGTAAACAAATCACGGCAGAAGGGTTTTCCGTGTTTTTTCGTTTAGGGTTTTAGTTCCGATAGGATGTCAAATATCGGATTACGGAGGGAATCTGTTCGTGCAGAAATGACTACTGTCACCGCGACGAAGGTGAAGTTAGCTTCTTCTTTCTCATTCGAACTTTCCGTTCCACCTTAAATCGTGCCGCAGTTCGCTGGCACCTGTACGGGGCCACAATGTAACAGCCGCCCCATTTAAGGTGGAACGGAAAATTCAAATAAGAACACGGAGAAGCCAACTTCAGCCTCGTGTAGCCGCGGTGCTAATCTGAGACAGCTAGCAAACGTTAGCCAGGAAAGTCTTGTTCAAACCTGGGTTTAAGACTAAAACGCCAGTTTTCGGTTTAAACATAGGTTCTCAAATCGCATATTACATTGCTTCTGTAATGTGAACATTTCGTTATAACATATAAATAAGAGCGACGTAGTTACCTCAGTATAGCGCGTTGTTAACGTTAGCGTAGTGATGGGGAGTCGATTCTTCGACTCCAACACCAGTGGGGGCCGGAGTCGACTCTTGGCCAATGACTCGGAGAGCCGAACTGCATGGAGTCGACTCTTTGACTCCGTGTTTGCTCGAGGGACGTTTTGACGAAGATGTGTGTATTAAAGGAAAAACTGAGTTTGAGTAGCGTGAGTTTGTGTAATTACTAGCCTTTATGATATACCAGCGCTCCTCACCAGCCGCTGTAAGCACACACCTACTTTATCACCGGCTCTGGTACTGTTTTGGTTAAAATGAACCCGCGAAAGTAACTGGACGTTTTGAAGTTGGCGCTGACGCTGCCATATGACGTAAGCAGAAAGAGACGGGGGAGACAAAACAGCATGCAGACATACAGTCACCAAGCACTTTATTAGGAACACCTGTACATCCACTCGTTCTTGGAGTCATCTCATCCGCCCATCGTGTGGCAGCAGTGCATAAAATCCAGCAGATACAGATAATGTTCCCACCAACAATCAGAATGAGGAAATAATGGGATCTCGGTCATGTCGACTGTGGCATGACTGTTGGTGCCAGATCGACTGGTGTGAATATTTCTGTAACTGCTGATCTGAAAAACCCTTTAATGATGCAAACAACCCTATAATCATGCAAAAAGGTCAGAGTGTCTGTGGTTCTATACAGAACCATTTTCTTGGCTAAAGAAGCATTTAAGTGCCATCTTTTTAGAGAGTCTACTGTTATATACTAAGTTATATAACAAGCTAGCATTATAACTGTGCTGAGTTTACGGTACATCAGCGGTGATGTACCAATGATCAATGATGCAAGCAGTTGACTCTTATATTTGTTTATTATTTATGACTTTAAGTTTAAGTGACCCCTTATTAGTCTCACAATGGGGGAATTTCACCTCTGCATTTAACCCATCCGTGCACCACAAAGTATGTATGTGGTGAAACTCCACATACACACTAGTGAACACACACACTAGGGGGCAGTGAGCACACTTGCCTGGAGCAGTGGGCAGCCCTATCCGCAGCGCCCGGGGAACAGTTGGGGGTTGGGTGCCTTGCTCAAGGGCACCTCAGTCACGTACTGTTGGCTCTGGGGATCAAACCAGCGACCTTCCGGTCACAGGGCCAGTTCCCTAACTTCCAGCCCATGAAAAATGCCTGGATCTGGAAAATCTTCAGTTTATGAGACCGACGCCTTGCCATTTGGCCACCATGCCAGCGAGGGAACAGAGGGAGGGACTTTATTTTAATCATTTTAAAAATGTGAGGGGTTTTGTGTGAAGCCTGGGCATAACTTAGGGTGTGTCTCAAAACCTAGTGAGCTCTCTAAGTAGCCGCTGTAGGCAGCGTTCCAACCGTCATCTGTCCGCATATTGTGACGTAAAATGCTATCTATGTAGAGAGCTCACTAGGTTTTGAGACACACCCTTAGAGTGCATCGCTACTGGTTGTTGAAGTTAGGTGGGTTTCCTGTAATGCTGGGTTCTGTGTTTGGTGTTCCTGCTGGCTCGTTATAGAACAAAATTATGCTGCTATTGATAATATTTTTGTTTTGATCTCGTGTGCATTAAACACATGGACAGATCTTGATGTCTGTTTAATTTTGTGAAATAATCAAATGTAGATTAGTTTAATGGACTAGATCTGAGATTTATTCACAGTGTTCACCCTTAAAAAGATGTTTCTTCAAGGATTATTTAGTAAAGAAAATGGTTCTGTATGGAACCATGAACACTCAAAGAACCCTTTGCATGATTAAAGGGTTCTTTGCATCATAAAAGAGTTCTTCAGATTAATGGAGAATGTGCTGTAGATGGTTCCGTATAGAACCTGTTTGAAAAAGGGTTCTATATCACCAAAAAGGTACTTCTATTGTTACGATGTCAAGCTTGTACCTGTAGAAGAACCATTTTTGGTGCTATATAGAACATCTTTCAAAAAGGTTTTATATAGAACCATCTAGAGCACATTCTTCATCAATCTGAAGAACGCTTTCATGATGCGAAGAACCCTTCAATCGTGCTAAAGGTTCTTTGAGTGTTCATGGTTCTATATAGAACCATTTTCTTTACTAAAGAACCCTCGAAGAACCTTCGTTTTTTAAGAATGTAATGCAATTTTGAAACCTTTTATGGTTTCAAGTAAACCGTCTAAAAATCAAGCGAATTTGCTTTTGTTTGAATATTTAAATGAACTCTTATTCTACCAGCTCTTTTACATCTACTGACCCTAAAGATAAACTGCACAGCTTTTTTCAGATAAATATGAATTACAGTGAGTTAATATTTTATAGATCGGGGCCTGAGCTTTGAAACTTTTAGGCAATTGAGTGTCAGCGATGCAGATATTTGCTTCTATTCTCATTCAATTCATCCGAAAAAAGTTTTCATATTAATTAATTAAATTCATTACTTAGTCTCAGTCAATAAAAAGCTTATCAGACTGTAACTTTTTTGGTTTAATGGTGCCACACAACTCTCACCCAGACGTGTTTTTGATTTTGTCGGTTGCAGGTCACACTAGAGATGGAAAACTCAGACACGACTCTTTTTTACATCAGAAAAAAATACTGCAACATCAAGCATGATGACATTTTATATTTGCTGTATGTAAAACTAATTAGATTGAAAGCCCAATGTGTCATAGCATTGAGACAAACACTTTTTAATGAGGTGATCACCAAACATAATGAGGTGCAGAGGCCCCTGAATGCAGTTAATGGTCATTTACTCATATGAACATTTTGCACCCATCATTCAAAACCTACTGAAGAAAGAAATCATTTCTGTGGAAATGAAACCAACTTTACTGCCCAGAGACTGTGCTTTATTTTCATGAGCTAAAGTGAGCTCACTTCAGCATTAAATCTGGCAAGTTAATGTTTGATTTATAGCTACTTAAACTGTAGAAAAGAGAATAGAAGAGTTTACTTCCAGACCAGTCTGCTGCTGTAGAATCTGTCGATATGAAAAACAGGGTAAAAGTTTGATTTAAATATCTTTGGGGAAACGCTGCAAATTTTTATAGTGGACCTGTAATCTGGTTACTGTCCTTGTTTGTTGTAACCATATTGGACTACAATTAAGTTTTTATATGCTGATTACATAACACCATTAAAGGTAGTACAAATCATTCTTTACCTGAACTTAACTGAATTATGGAAAGTATTTCCACAAGATTAAATAGCTTTGTTTAAAAATAAGGCAGTTTTGTTGATCAAACCTAATTCACTTAAGCTGCTATCACATTTCCAACTCAACTGAGTGAAGTCATTGAACTTACTGGTTATATTGGTCCATCTTACCTTACTAGAGTTGCTTTAGAAGTGGCCACTGTAGTGCCCAGTCAGTATAGAACCACATTCAGCAATAAAAAAGGTGGTAAAGCCAACAGCAACCAATCTAGATAACTGAGCTAAACCTAAAATGTACGTATAAACCCGAGTGAATATAGCCTAGGATGAAAGACAACAGAGAGATGGTAAGTAAAACAAGGCCGAAAGACACGGCCAGTATGCAAATAGGTGGAGCCAGGAGCCAATAAGATCTTCAAATACAAAAAATCATCAAAAGTTCTCAAACACAATTAATTCTCTTTTAATTGACTTGATTGACTTTGGCTGACATCACTAATACTTTAAGTACATTTGTCAAATGGGTCAGTTCAGTTAATATCAACCTGATTTGTTTTCTCAACACATACAAGAGCCATTTCTACATTCTGAGTGTCCCCAACCCGGTTTACTGAAGAACGACTGTACAGAGCAGTTTCACCAAGAGTCGTCTGTTTTATTGATGTGACTGCACTGAGTACATAAGAAGAAGGAAGAAAATGCTAGACATCTTTTTCCTCTCATTTGGGAAGCTTATAAAAAAAAGAAGCAGCGCAGCTCACAGACAGACGTCTGAGAGACATTACAGATTGTTGTTAGACCATTCTCTGACACCATTGTAGCAGTCAGCACTATGTTTGCTGTTGGCTCCACTGTTTTCCTTCAGCCAGCTCTGGAACTGCGACTGGTTGCCTTCATTCACGAGGTAGCGGCCCAGAACTTGAGTAGCACTGCCTGTGCCGTGACCTTGCAGGCGGCCTCCGTTTGCCTTGCCGATGCCAGGCAGAGCAGTCACAGGCTTGCCCGCCATGGACTGGCTACAAAACGTCTGGTGCTTCTTGGATGTGGACATATTCAGCTTCTTGTAGATAAGAAAGAAAGAAAGAAAGAAAGAAAAACAAAAACAGAGGCACAGTAGGATGAAAAAGATTGCGAACAAAATGTACAGAAGAACCACATTATTAAGTACGATGACTTCTACACTATGATCCTGATACTCAGCGCAGGACACAAGGCCACCAACTCAAAACTCTTTGAATTCCTTTAATGTTAATTTGTCCCATTATACACTTCTCACCAATATTAAACACACTGTATTACTGTGTCTGTAGTCTGTTAGGAGCTTACAGTACCTCAGAGCCTGTAGTCTCTGGAATCTCCCTGGAGAAGAAGTGATGAAAATGCAGGTATTTGCCTGGAAACAAAATAATAATTAATTTTCTCACTAGCTGAACTAAGTGATGAGCTAATGATGAAGGCTAATATGAACACTGGGTACATTACTGGATCCATGCCTGTTTCTTTCTAACAGTAATAAATAATATAAGGCTTTAACTGACTTTAACTGACCTCTTCTCAGAATAGGACTGATGACTAATGAGTTTTACCAACAGATATATGTGAGTTATTCAATGAAAAGAGTCATTGAAGTTTGGACTGTTTTTATTGGTCCGTTCACCAGGAAACTTTGACACTGTGTAAATGGCAGCTGACATTTTCAAATTATGTTAAAAAAAAGAAAAAGCACAAAAATGAACATAAAGTTTTGTTCCGAAAGCAACATATATTTCACGTGATGAAGAGTAGTCATCATCATTACAGCAATAATTCATTATTTTTACCATCCCTGACATGGTTGGTCAGGCATATGTCCACCTCGCCACACAAAACAGACACAGAAAGTGATGTAATTCAGAGCTGAGGCAGTAATTTGGTCACTGAGGGAGGAAAATATCTTCTGATAAAAGCAAAATATAAATAAACTGTGTTGTGCATCTTTTTTCTCTTTTCCCCTCTAGCTCTCTAACAGGCAGAGAACTGACCAATAGGGGAGCGGCTGGGGGTCTGGCTGTGGTTCTCCAGCCCACCAATGAGAAGTGCTCTTTTCTGAGAAGAGGCAGGTCTTCCTGTACTTTTCCCGCGCTTTGTTGTATGAAGCAACATTTTGGCCTGATTTTATCAACCCACTCCCTCCAGACTGGACGTGTTCAGGTTGGGTTGGGCATCTTTACTGCACACTTAAACACTCTGTATAGACGTCTGTACTCAGGTTAGGCTTGACTAGTTCGGTTATATATATATTTTTATTTTTCTTTACTTTGGCACCGTCTGTCTTTCACGTTTGTGGTTGGTTGGGGCCTGAAAGACTCATCCCAGTTTGTCCCCTTATATTTTATTCTTACCACCAATACTTAACTTTTACTCCATTTGATATTATCTCAAGTATTTCTGCTTATAGCATTAGTCTGTCTCATATATTACTGCTCAGCTTTTACTGTGTTATGTTATCATCATTACCATTAGTCTGTCTCATATATTACTGCTCAGCTTTTACTGTGTTATGTTATCATCATTACCATTAGTCTGTCTCATGCTTTACTACTTTTGCTATTACAGTCTATTGTTTCATACTTTGTTCTCTGTAGCAATTTGTGCCATATAACTATTGTATCATTCTGTATTATACTGCCTGTTTGGGAAGTAAAGTATTATATAAAGTGGTACTGTTATCTGCATCTCTTACTTCTGTCAGTCATCACTTTCTCCAATTTACACCCTTTTTATTCCTAAACAAGAACCAAACATAACACAAACAACTAGTTTCTTCACATGAAATAAAAAGTCACACTATCCTGATTATTCTTTGGCACCAATCTATTAAAATGACTCATTTAACAATAGATGTATTTATCAACAGATAGATGCACAGATTTCATAGACTTACCTGTCTGTGGAGAAAGTTGCCTCAAAATGGGATCTGAATATGGCTCGAGTGCTGTTTAAATAACAGAGAAAGAAAGTCATCTTGCTCCACCCACTGATATCAAATGATGCCAGACGTCCCATTTTCAGTGAAACGAAACTGAGTAATACCTTAGATTTGTAGACCTGTGGATTTACCTTATGTATGTACATGTAGATCTTTACTTCATGCAGTCATTAGTTGTTACACGTTGTGCACTTGTGGCTCTAACTGTTTGTCTGCTATTGTAGAAAACAGCAACTAATCAAAATGTTCAGAATGTGCAAAGAAGAACGAATGACCCTGAGTTATAATGACACCTGGCAAATGTTGCGTCCATCAATGATAGAGCATATAGACTTAGTTCATTCAGTACCTTGTTGGAATTTCCAGTAATTATATGAGGATCTGATTGTTGGGCTGCACAATGGTACTGGAATCACATCTGTGATCTATATGATGATGCACTTATTGTGTTCTGGAAGAGCAGAACATTCAGATGTTGAGATATTGGGCTTCTGTGCTAAACATCTGCATTTTATTCATGTGACTGCATTTGTAACCTTCTACAGTGGTCACCAACCCTGGTCCTGGAGACCCACCTCCTTGCAGAGTCTACTTCCAACCACAGTCTACCACACCTGCTCCAGCTAATGAAGTATTTTCGAAGTCCTTGATTGGCTAAATCAGATGCATTGATTGGGGGGTCAACAAGATGCAGGTTGGTACTAAACTCTGCAGGACAGCAGATACCCAGGAGGTTTGGTGACCACACATTCTTTACATTGCCCAATTGAATGTACCAGGCCCAGTTAGTAATGCACTGCTGCTGCGTTTGTACATTGGAATAGGCCTGTATTGCCTGTAATCAATGGGGTGGAAGATGTACTGATAACAGAAGAACTGAAACTGAAACTCCAGTGTGCCCTTTTTATGTTTCACTTTCTTGTGAAATGATATTTACTGGGTGAGGATTTCTGAAAAAAGAGGTTATTGCTCAGATGCGTGGTCAATTAAACTAATTGTGAAACTAGTTAAACCAGACTTAGCTAACTCTATATGCTTATTAACCATATGATATTTTTACTACAGTCACTTACAGTGGAGAGGAATGTATTGCCATACATGCATATGCATTATAATGCAATATACACCAGACAGTACACAACTATTTTATCTAACTAATTCTGTTGAGAAGTTGTAGGCAAAAGCATAATATTATTACTTTTAGGCTTTTGTTTAAGTTTAAGCTACTTGTACAGTATTAGTAGTATTATACTTACAACATTAACCTCTTATTCTCCAGAGTACATTTTGGTTGCTCCATCTGAATTCACATGACCAAATCATAAGGCAAATTATTCAGTAACTGCATGAAATAAATGTAAATTTTTTTTATTTATTAATTTATTTTTTGTAAAAGCTCCCCTCAAATTAAAAGAACATGTGTTTTATGATCACACATATTGCTATATGCTTACAATTTACTGCTGAAAGCCAAAAATCTTTTATAAAAATAATTTTTACAGAGCAGATCACTGAAGAGACGCCATCTGTTTACAGTTTATAGCCCAGATGTGTGGAAAACGGGTCGACTTTCAATAGACAAAAAAAAAAAAAACTCAGCTTCTTTTATTATAAGGGTTTAAAATTACATTACCCATCTATTTGACTGGAAAGACTAAAATTACTTTAAAGCCTACTTTTAAAACACTTGTTCAGTATTACTAGTATTATACTTTTCATATAATATTATTATTTGTAGGCTTACTTTTAAGCTACTTGTATAATATTACTAATATTATACACATAATATTATTACTTTTAAGCTTACTTTTAAGTTTTTTGCTACTGGTATAATATTACTAATATGGAACTCCATTCAGTTTTGCTGTATTGAATAGGAAGCTTGTTTCAGTCTTTAAATTCTAAACTGAGCAGTAACACTGAAAAATCCTTTAGCACAGAAGTGTTTATGGTTCTAATTAGTTTTGCTTTATTGGAGAAAACTGTACCAGGTGAGTGAAGTTTACTGTATTACTGATATGACTGCAATGAGTCAATAATACCTTCAGAAGTTTTCTGATGACTCTGTGGTGGCTGGGTGCATTAGGGATGGGCAGGAAGAAGAAAACAGAAACCTTGTGGAAAGCTTCATTGAGTGGTGTGTGAGAAACCATCTGCTCCTCAATGTGATCAAGAACAAGGAGATCATCATGGGTCAGAACGTCGAACTGGTAGACACCTACAAATATCTGGGTGTCCTGCTTGACAATAAACTGGACTGGAGGGCCAACACAGAGGCTGTGTACTGCGCAGCAGTACTGCATATTGCACTGCCACTTGTTTATACACCCATGCATATCGCATGACTGTCAACATATGTTATCGTTTAACATATTACAGGTCATAGTCACTCAGTTCATTCACTGGATGGGACATGCACCATTACATTGTCACCTGCATAATATTTATGCGATTTTACTTTGTAATCTGCGTGATTTTGTACTCTGAACTGCTGCCACATGATTAACTAATTAGATGAATTACAGTGTATATACATACATATACATATACACACACACACAATACACTACTTACATATGAATTCAATTCATTAAAACTGATGTTAGTTAATTTTAGAATATTAGAAAATAAATCAGTATTCAATTTTTGTTTTGGATTTCCATGGTGCATTTTCACACATTTGTCCAGTAGATGTCACCACTGCACAGGTTTTTTTATTATTATTATGTTTTTTAATAATGAAATTTGCTCAGTGAGTGGGGTCCTTGCATTGTGGCCAATAAAAACAATGACTCTCCCTGTCATTTCTGAATGTGCCATGTATTCCATGTGATTAATCCTAGGTCCTTTTCTGCAATCACTGCTATGCCAATGCTATCCAGTTTAGCTTTCAGTTCTTTAGGAGGGCGTCTTATGTTGTCCTGAAAGACATCCAATAAAAAGTTAACAGAGGAAAAAACTGTGTCAATAAATACATGTTTTTGCTTTGTTTTTTATTCTATGTTTTCAGGCAACACACAAGACGCCTAGAACAAAACACCAAATCAATCCACAGTACAGTTCAAAGACTGTATAAAGAAAAGCAGCTTCCCTTTTTTTCGCTTTTAAAATGTAAGAGAGCAACAGTTGAAAGATGAACCGTAAATTAAATGGGAGCAGTGTGGTGAACTAGATCAAATATCGGAAGATGAAAAATGTCAACGAGACACAAATAAATAACAATGAACAAGAATGATCAAGCAATAAAGATAGTGATGGATACAGTCAATAATACACTCTGAAATATTTCTAAACTCTAAAATAGGATGGGTACATCGTCAAAAAAAAGGGAGGAGACAGAAGGCCTCAAATATGAGCAGTGGTCAGTACCTATTTGTTGGAAACAAAGAAAAAATAGCACTACCCTTCAGTCACTATCAGTTTACACTGCAACATCCCAACATTCATTTTTCCACACAGTACAGTTTATGAGTTCAGACCATGCCTTCAACATGGTGGTGGTAATATGAGGGAAGACTGATTGAGGGAGGGGGACAACTCTGAGAACCTGGGCTGGAGGTCTGGGCAGCTTCTGCCTGTAGCTAGAAGGCCAGACCCCCTCATAGCTGTAATAGAACTGATGCAGGACTGAGGAACAGGGAGGAGATGGGGTGGGGGCGGGGATTGGGAACACTTCTTCACAGGAGCGGAAGATGAGGATGTGAATTTACAGGGTGTTAGATTGGAAGAAGGAGGGGTTTCAGCCATGCCCCAAACTTCAGTTGTAACATAACTACATTATGTTCTTCAGAAAGGGTCCAGGATTGCCACTTAAGAAAGGAAATCTCAGTAACAATTTCTTTTACAGTCCCTTAAGGTCTAGGTATTAAACCAGCTAGAGTGTAGTACAAATGCTAAGGTTCTAGGTCATTATTTTAAGTAATATGATGGAACATTCTATGACAGTCGATCTCAGGGGTGCACAGCCCTGGTCTTAGAGGGCCAGTGTCCAGCACACTTCTGTGGTTGCCCAACTCAAACAAAGCCATTAAACCTACCAATCAACAGGTGTGTTTAAGCAAATATATCACCAAACTACTAAATTAAATGTCCAGTTAAATGTTCTAGATATTACATCGGTAAGTGTTATCTTACCGATGTAATATCTTAGTGTGTGTTTATATTTATCACCTTATTATTCCAAATCATTATGAGATATTTTACTTATGTCCTTTATCATATTAATAGCTAGAACCTGTTGGAAATGTTCTGTGTAATTTAGTTGATTAATGACTTGACTACTTATCTTCCTACCCAAAATAATTACACAGCACTTCAAACGTACTCAGTTAGTATCTAGAACCTGTTGAGCATCTCAGTGTAATTTAGCCAAACTGTCTTTTTAGCATCATGTTGCCCAAATACACTATTGACTACTTTATATCTCTCACTTACCTGGTTCTTACCTAGAACTTAGGGGACTGTAAAATAAAAATTATGAGAAGACTTTCATCATGTATTGGTCATGTTAGCAGCTTAAACTGGCCTTTGCTCAGTGCTGAACATTGTCTAGCTGTGGACGGTGAACACTGAGAGCCTCCCTGCAGACCAGCACACACAGGACGGAGTCACAGATGACTCTCAAACTCATGAGAGAGGCACACATCATCCACAGAACCCAGAGGTTCTGCAAATCAATCCAGAAAGTGACCCACATCAAATACTGAACCATCATAAATGTAGCAACATCCAATACAGTCAAATCTGGCTTCTCCAGTTTGTTTAACTGTGCAACTGCTACAGCTCTCAAAGTCACTACCCATGATAAGAGAGTCATAGCTAAGACCAGAAAAGCACTTGTGAGGAAAAGAGCAGTTAAGCTGAAAAACTCACAGAGAAACATACAAATGGCAGCAAATATACATACAATGATGGAGCAAGAAGGGAAGAAGACATGAGCCGAGCAGAGCGGATGTCTCTGAGACAGAGTG